AAAGAGAGACTACGAAGAAAGGAGCTCCACAGTCAAGGGCTGAGGCAGTCAGAGTCTGGCAGAACTGCTGGAGAGATCTCTCGCAACTTAAGATCTAAGCCTCGGCTAAGGCGGCCGTACATCGGCTAGATTATTCTTGGCAGACAATACTTTTGAAAGGCACCTCCGTATAGAGCGTTTAGATTAGTCTTGAAGTAGAATAAGCAATAAGATGCACAACATCGCACTCTTAGCGGGCATCTCGCGGATCTTGTGGTAAAGCTAGCACCAGGCAACCACTACATGAACCACACAGACCAAGAACTAAAGTACAGGCTAGATTTACTATATAATCAATCACCATGCGACCTGACTTCTATTTGGTACTGCACGATACAACTTACGAAGTGACTTGTCAACATTCAAAGTAGTCCATTTCCAAGACTCTCTCTTCTTCAATATCACTAGTGAAACAATACATGCTCTTCAAACAAAAACCATTGCAATATCTACTAGAGGTATATAAAAAACGTACAGATAAGAAAAAGAAGCGCCTTACATTCTAGCTCTATTACTCACTCATTTATCATTCACCTCCCAATCGTAAAACTCACTTCTCACTCCTTTCAACAACCTGTCCGAGACCTTCTCCCTCAACCACCGCATCTGTCGGTCCCTTCCCCTCACCGCCTACCCTCTCCGTCGGCGTCCTAACCACATTCTTCCCCTCAACTTTCTTCAACCCAGTGAAATCAAGACCAGCTTCCAGCTCGGCACTCAAATTGACCCATCCCCGGACGCTGTCCTTGGTGCGACTCAGGATCGTCGTGTCGTTGGCTTGACTCGCTGTCTGATCCTCAAGCTCAAGGTCAGCCACGCTGGTATTACCGACACGAACCCCGTTTTCACGTAGAACCTGCAGTATAGCGCGGGTATTGAGTTTGAGTACGCGTTCAGGCTCCTTGGCGCCAAAGAACTTCTTTGTCAGCCAGGGAAATAGGACGCCAAAGTCGCTTTGAGACAGATGGGCTGAGGCAATGGGGTACAATATGTGTGGACCAGGCTGAGCAGGATACTTTGAATTTGACGGTGATGGCTTGGCGATGATGCGCTTTGTTTCTCGGAAGTTGGAGGCCCATTTGTAGAAGCCTTCGGAAGAGATGGCGAGGAGGTTCTTGCCGCCGTTGGGGGAGTCGTAACACGGCATTGGTTTGCTTCTGAGCCATGCAGTGTCTGGGCTTTGGATGGGCATCGTGTACAGGTCCAGTAAAATAACTGGATTGGAAGGCGTGATCTGGCGAACAATGCTCGAGTCCTCGGAAGGGATGTAAAGTGGGTTGTAATCCGGGATCTGTCCTTGAGGCCGGTAGTAGATCGACTTGACAAATTGAACCATTGTGCATGCGCCAAAAGAGTGACCTGCAAAACTGACAGCACCCGGTTCGTGGATATCAAGTAGATTCGAGAACATGCCCAATACACTTTTCCCTTTGGGTTGATCTTGCGCAACATTCTTCAGCTGTCGGCCCTCGTCAATCTTCAATAGCGCATCGTGTATCATTCCCAACTCCCATATCCGAATCCGCAATTGCTCATCTCTTCCTTGGTACGCTTCCGTACTGGGATAATAGGAGATTGAATTGAACTCTACTCGTTTCAACTTTTCTTTGTCGTCTGGCGTATGGTGGATAGCTAGAGGTGAGCTACCATCACGGTGATCTGCTGCGACAACGACTACTCCGTGGCTTGCCAGTGAGCCACAAATTTGCGAATACGCGTTCCTGGTGCCAGCCAGGCCGTGTGAGAAGAACATGACAGGCCATCGACTAGATTTTGGTGGTGGATCCAAGAGCTCCGCGTTTTGGTGTACAGGCATTGAGACATAGTATAATAACTGAGGTAATAGCCTGTGTGTGTATTAGTGCTGATCATTTACACTAAAGGCCTTTTTTTCATAAGAAACTAACGAGAAGACTTTAGCGAATACGCTGTTGGCACCCAGAAATTTCGCGTAGGCGCTGAGATACTCCCGCTGCGGATTTGGTAACCATCTTACAGCTCTTTCGTTACTATCCTGCTTGCACGGGTAGAAGACCCGAAAAGCCACTGTTGGTAGTTCCGCGGGAGGGGCGTTTTCACTCTGACTCGCTAATTCGCTCGTGGGTATCTCTACATCTGCTGATCCGACCTTGTATGGACCAGTATGTGCAGGGAATGCAGGCGTGGGATTCAGCCGATTTAGCAAAGGCATTCTGATGGTGGCAAGTGATCTAAACGCTGGTGAGGACAACAGCTTGAATAAAAAATTCCAGCACGCGACAACTTTTTATCCTTGAATTAAGCGGGATATTCGATACGAGAAAGGAAACTGCAAAGAGGATCCTGAGGAAAGGATGTGTGCATCTGTGGCAAGAAGGCGACTCGAACAAGGAAAAGCTGCGATAATAGTGCATGTGTTCATGTTCGAAGGCGGCTCAGTCATGCAAAGGACCATGCTAACATTCCGCGCCCCTCCAGGAACATGTCTGACAGCCGAAGTTAGGGCAAGTAACGCGATCTGCGTGATGTGGCGAGTCCAGGGCAAGACCGAGGTTTTGGACGCGTTTTAGCGGATGCATACAGCGTTTCTTCGTCGTCTTCTAGTTGCCACGAGAGGCGAGAAAGATTTTTCATCTCGTTCAGTACCTTGCGTCTTTCAATATCAGAGCTTCTAATATCAGAGCTTCTAAGAGTACGTGCGCAACAAGCCTCCGGTATACCGTCCGCATGGCATGTGCTGGCGCGGCAGAGTGGGGTGTTGATGTAGGAACAAGGCATGACGACACGCGGACGCCAATATCGACACGGCTAAAGCGCCAAACCGCAAACAGTGATTGGCAGATATGTAAGCGCCTGTACTGTAGCATACCCGAAACAGCCGCGCACCGTTAGTTACTTAGCAAAATCGCTGGTTTCTATGTGTTTCGCTGTCGAGCAGACTGTGCAAACAGCTGTGTCTTTGCACATGGATTTTGCTTGACATCTCTACTCGTATGCTCAAGGCAAGGTCTTTTGGATCGACCCAGTTTACTTCGTAGATTAACCATTTTCGCTGTGTTGTTGATAGTTCGCAACTCTCGGCGGTAGTCAGTGATGTCTAAGCATTTCATTCAAACCAGAAGCGAATAGTTAGGAACGAAATTCAACATGCAAGGATGATCCATGTGGTGTGGGACTGTCCAAAAAAAATCTGGGGTCTAGTATATCGTGTATTCTCGTAAGGGACAAACAAAACTCAAGGGGGTATGCTGTCTAATCAGAGGGAAAACTACTACGTGACTGCAAATATAACGCGCCGCAAAAAAATGAACAAAGAGCTTCAACCAGAAAATCGCTTATGAACGTACTGTTTCAATCCATCTGTAGACGAAGCCGCTTTCAACAACAGCCTCTTTTCCGTCTATTTCCGCCGAGCCTGAATACGTCTTCCCATTCGCTCAGCGCACCAGACTTCCTGCCTCTTCTGCGGTATCTCACACCCTCATCCCCAAACCCGCTCTTGATACTGCCTCCACCATCGTCCCAGCCCAAATCACCATACTGTATGCCACTCGCAGGATCGTCAGGATCAATCTCGCCTAGCTCAATCTTGGTCAAGATCATCCTTGCCAATCTGTTAAACAGCTCCTCCACATTTTCTCCATTTAGTGCGGAGACCTCGACCGCAACTGGTATCCCATTTTGCCCCGCCCATCGCGACGCCGTCTCGGTCGGCACTTCGCGGCCTTCGGGGGCTATAGTGTACGAAGCATGGAGATTCGCATTGAGGCTCGTTGCTCTGCTGGATTGTGATGATGGTGTAGGCGGCGGTAGTCCGCTCTCTGAACTCGGGGTGCTCCCATAACTGGAATATCCGCCACCGTTGGCACCTTGGCTACTGCTCAACCCTACGGGAATTCCCTCGCCAGTCTCAACGTCATTCTTGTTCCCTACGAGTATAATGGTAAGATCGGGCCCGGCCAGCGCCCTTGCGTCGTTGAGGAAAGTCTGCAATTGCTCAAAGCTCCGCCAGCTGCTCACGTCATAGACAAGTATCGCGCCCGCCGCCCCACGGTAGTAGGATCGCGACACCGAGCGGAAACGTTCTGTGCCGGCAGTGTCCCAGAGTTGTAGCTTCATTCGTTTTCGCGACGCAGAGGAGGAGGGGGAGCGGCGGCGGTCGGCAATGTGGACAATTTTGGATGCGAATTCTACACCGATTGTCTGGCTAGACAGAGAGCGCCCTGGAGTAGTTGTTAGGCCGATATGCAACGGGAGGAGGCGCGATAGAAATACACTCTGATTTAACAAAACGATGCAGGAGACAAGATCTATGTTGCTCAGCTACTCGGTTGCAGTGAATACTTGCCTTATCGCAGACTTACTTGCCAGCACCGCTAGGACCCAGCAGTATCACCTTTGCCAGGTAGTCATACATGCTTCCCAGCTCCTGTCATAGTTTAGGAAGGCTCTGCACGGCTCTGGCCATGTCCATACCTACTTGTAAAGGCGGCTCGCTGCTCCGCGTTGAGGCGTTGGACACAGCGCGATTCCTCCCCATCTTGACGGGCTGGCTAGCTATGGTCGCAAAGTTCGTAGACGACGAGTCGGCACAGGTCACGGTCGCATACGTGTCGCAGGACTCTGAGGTCGTGAGAAGAGTCAGAAATTGCGCCGGTGAGAGATAGCGCAATGCTACCGTGTTGTGTTGTCCGTCTGGGCTTATCTTTGTGACGCCAATTGGTGGACCCTGGCCGCGATTCGCGATGTCAAATCACGCGCGCATGTCAACGACCCCACTGAGCACTTTCTAGGAGAGCACGGGTTGTCCGGAGTGCAGGTCGATACATGATTCCTGCTTTGCAGTGCAGCAATCATATCTCTAGATCTTGATTAGAAATTATAGCGGCCCAGCATTCACGGAAGACTAGTTGTTGCGGAGACTTGGTTCAAAATGGCATGCTCACATAGGACTAGGAATAGGATGGAGTCGACGGCTATGAACAATTACCCCAGAATTTATCAGTAACAAGAAAATGAAACAAAATGCACAGCACACAATGGTGTCCTAAGCGCTTTACCAAAAGCAAACAAGAATCCAGTCAACTCCCATCCTCCCACAGCACTCAGAGGTGTCCACCTCAATGCTCGCCCATGTCTCTCAAGGGCATGTAGCTGGCCTCCTCCTTGTTTCGTCTCCTAGCCGCCCATGCCTCACTGATCCAGTCTTTTGCAAAACTGAATACTCCTTGCTGGCCAACTTTTTCCATCTCCAAGTTCTTCTCGTCAATGGGGGCACTAGGATCCAGTAGGCTCAACTTCATCCAGCTAGGTCTACGCCAGAACTTGAGGTGCAGAGAACTAAGAACAACGCTAACCGACGAGCATGCCATTGCTGCGCCTGCGGCCATGGGATGTATTGACAGACCCCAGGGGAGGAAAAAGCCCATGGCAAAGGGAAGTCCGATGAAATTGTACATACAGGCCCATGCAAGGTTGAGTTTAATACGGAAGAAGATGGCGCGGCTGAGGACCAGGGAAGCAGGAATAGCCAGTAGGTCAGTGTTGGTCATGAGAACAATCGAGGCCGCCTCCATGGCAACGTCTGTACCAGTCGAGAGAGCAATACCAATGTCCGCAGATGCAAGAGCCGGAGAATCATTGATGCCGTCGCCGACCATACCAATCACGCCTCCACGGGATTGGAGATCTTCTACAATTGCTTTCTTGTCGGCAGGCGAGCACGATGCATGGACGTCAGCAGGATCGATACCGACTGTTGCTGCGACTACTAGAGCCGAGGCTGAAGTGTCACCAGTCACAATCGAAGACTTGATACCCAAACGGGACAGTGCAAGCACACAGGCGCGAGCAGAAGGCTTGATCGTGTCGGACATGCTCAAGGTACCAGTGTATGTGTTGCCGATAGCGGTGTGAATCGTCGTGATACCAGCCGAGTGAGTTTGAGGGCCACTTCGGGGATTGGCAGCAGCAGCAGGCGTCAGTGGCTCGTCTACAAAGTCGGGAACATTGACTCCTTCTGAGGTAAGGAAAGCAGTGTTGCCAATGAGAACCTTGTATCGCGTGCGCTCGCGGGAGAGAGCTGCTTCGACTGTTGCAGTGATACCTTTGCCAACGACGGCTTCAAAGTCGCCCACGGAACCATCCAAGCCGTCGTCTGGACCTAGGCGGAGATGTTCCTTTGCAGACAGAACAATAGCCTTGGCAATCGGATGTTCAGAGCCCATCTCGGCGAGTCCAATCAGTGTCCACCACAGGTTCCTCTTTTCAGCACTTCCCCATCCGCCTTGGATGTTAGCCTTGGACACGCTCATCTGACCAACAGTAAGCGTGCCAGTCTTGTCAAAGACAATGTGATTGATTTTAGTTGCGGTTTCCAGAGCGGCGCCACCTTTGACGAGAATACCCTGCTCAGCGCCGACACCAGTGCCGACCATAACAGCTGTAGGCGTGGCAAGGCCAAGGGCGCATGGGCACGCGAAGACAATGACAGCAATGCAAAGCTTGAAGCACACCATGAATTTGCCGCCACTGGAGTGATCAAGGAAGACTTTTGGAGGGTACGGTAGGACATAGCTAAGAACCATCCATCCAACAAACGTAGCCAAACCGAGAGTGATGATGATTGGCACGAAATATCCAGCAACAGTGTCCGCTAGCCTCTGAATGGGAGCACGGCTTGTCTGGGCTTCCTGGACGAGACGGACAATCTGGCTGAGCTGTGTATCACGGCCGGCTCGAGTGACGATGAACTCTAGACGGCCGTTGCCATTGACAGTACCAGCCATGACCAGGGAGCCTTTCTTCTTGAGGATCGGCATGGCTTCTCCAGTGACCATACTTTCGTTGAGATAAGACTCTCCGCGCGTTACTGTACCATCGGCAGGAAGCTTGTCGCCAGGACGAAGGATGACCACATCACCAACTTCGATAAGCTCTGTAGGAATGACCCTCTCTTCGGCAGCATTTCCATCGACAGACTTGCGTTGCAGCTTTTCTTCGCTAGCTTCCCAGTCCTCTACAGCCTTTGCAGCAGCGATGGGATCGGCATAGATGGTGGTCATCGAAGGAGCCAGCGACATGAGATTGGACAGAGCTTTGGAAGTTTGGCCCTTGGCACTGTTCTCGAGATAACGACCCAAGCTGATGAAGGTGAACAACATAGTACTGGTGTCGAAAAGAGTCGCTGGCTTCGTGTGAGGGGGAATCAGGAGTGATACTAGCATGGAGAATACACTGAAGAAAAAGGCAGCCGAAGTACCGAGCACGACCAGAACGTCCATGGTAGGTGAGCCATGGCTCAGCGACTTGTACGCAGAGACATAAAAGCGCTTTCCAATGCCAAACTGCACCGGTATGGTAAGGACCAGGCATATGACGTCGCCAAGGTACAGACCAGGTATGAGCCGAATGCCACCAAAGTTCATGAATGGCAGGAACATGGGAATGAACATGCTAATCAGAAAGACGGGCACAGCGAACCAAGCAGAGAAGATAACGGCATGTCTCCACTCCTGGATCTCTTTTGTCTTGGCAAGAGACTCAAGCTGTGCGTTGTTGTCTTCAGAGTCAGCAACTAGCGCATTGTAACCTGCCGCTTCCACAGCCTCGACAATGGTACGAATGCCGACGATCTGGGGTTCTCGACGAACAGTGGCTCTTGAAGTACTGAAGTTGACTGTTACAGATGTGATGCCGGATCGCTTCCTGAGTATCCCTTCGAGTTCCTGGGCAGCGGCCGCGTCGGGTAATCCATAGATTTTAAGCTGCAAGGGAGCGTTACTCGACGAAGACTGCTGCACGCTACTGTCCACTGACGATACGACTTCAGCATCAAACCCCCGGTCCTCAATAATCTCTACAATTTGGGCCTCTGTAAGTTTGGAAGGGTCGTGCACGAGCACAGCACGATTAGCGAGTAAGCTGATGTTGAACTGGTAAACTCCATCAACATCCTTGAAGCCAGCCTCTATAGCCGACGTGCATGCGCCGCATGTCATGCCTTCCACGGCGACGGTGGTGGTTAAGGTCTTGTGCTGATTCCTGCTCTTGCTCTTCTTTGGGGCTGGCGTTGCGGCTTCGGTGCTCAGCACCTCCGCGTCAAAGCCAACATCTTCAATTGTCTCGGCCAGTTTCTCTGCGGAAATAATTGTAGTGTCATGTTCAATTACGGCGCGTTCGGAGAGGAGTGATATACTAAAAGACTTGATGCCGGCTACGTCTTTGAATGCACCTTCGACGGCGGATGTGCATGCTCCACATGTCATACCGCCCACTGTAAGCGTGGTGGTCGAGATGCTGTTGGTTGCGTGGTTCTCTTCGTCCTCCAAGTCGCTCAGAAAATCGTCTTCGGCGCTATGCGACATGGGCAGATCTGATGATAGTACTTCGGCGTCGAATCCTCTGTCTTCGATGATTTCCTTGACCTCGTCCGCCGTAATAACCTCGGGGTCGTGTTGTACCACTGCTCGCTCCATAACCAGGCTTATGGATACATTTCCAATTCCTTTGACGCCTTGGAAGCCTGATTCGATCGCCGAGGTGCATGCGCCGCATGTCATTCCCTCGACTTTGAGCGTCGTTGTTGCCATGTGCGCAGTCGCAGTGGCGGGGGGCGCCATGGTGACGGGGGGGGAGGCACTCCGGAGTGCTGCGCAGAGCAAGTCGTATCGTTGTATGCAAAGTCGAAACGGCAAGGGCCGGGATTTAAGTAGGTGGCATTCAAGAAGCCGAGCAGGGGGGCGCGCGTCGTACGATGTGGCAAAGTCAGGGCGAACGCGAGCCTAGTAATTGCGACAGCGTTGCGAGGGCTGATCAAGCGAGCAGGATCCGGGAGGGACAGCGATGCGAATCTGAACAAAAAGAAGCCCAGCTTCTGGAAAGTGTCAGGCAGTGCAGTTATTAATTAATATGGCGCTTGATAGGCGGGCAGCGACAGCCACAATCTTACCAATGCTGAACGGAATCCGGCGCGGCGGGTAGTCTCAAGCGGGTTAAAGCGGTAAGTATAGCGGAGGACGGACCGCTGTCGTTGGAGCAGGTGAGACCACTATTCGCAAAATAAACGCTTTGGGAAAGGTAGTTCAAGGATTGTCCGTGAGCAAGAAGAAATACAGGCTTGATATTCAACGCGAAATGTAAATAAGGTTCCGCGTTGTGCGCAGGCGTGTGTTGACCGGTGGATCTTCACATGCGATAACTGTTTCTGCTTGGCGTAGCGCGCTGAAACAGGCAGGTTTCTAAAACATGCGCGTAACATGAAGCTCAGATGTTACAGGGCAAGCCTCATCTTCTGCTACTATTACTGATATCTGAGGCGCCTCTACACAGTAGGGATACAGTCATGATTTGGCGCGATCCTACTTTGTTGGACGAAGGCTGTGTTCGTATCGCATCCGACGCACCACTCGAAGCCAATCCGCAGCGGTCCGTAGCGGTCCGTAAGTCCAACTCGAGCTGCAGCTGCTTCCTCGATTGGGCCAAGGATCTCTTGGTGGGCTGAAATAAGTAGTGTCATGAAAAGTGCTCCATTAAACATTGCCGCGTCTCAAGTTCCGCAAGCCACAACACCGCACGGTCAATAAACGCATCTTGTATACAAAAGTTGTGAATTCGTATATATGAGTTCATCTGGAATGATAGCAAAGTGTACTTTTTACAACGTTGTTGTGAAGTACATCTCGTTCGTTTTGATGGGGCGGAGAGGGATGTCGGGCATGCCCAGGCTGAGGAGATTGGACGCCCGTGTGGCGGATCACCGTGTGGGTTCTTTTGTAGCAAAAAGAATGCCACGCTTGCCGAGAACGCGTTCTGTTGACGGAAATGGACTCGGCTCAATATTGGAGTCTTGTCGTGTGCGGCAGAACGGGTGAGAAAGCCCTCCGTGTCCTCGGAGGGTGGCAGAGGGAGAGAGAGATGTAGGGACAGGTTGCTGTCGAGGTCGAAGTGGGGCAGACGCCCGTTTGGCGGGGAAATCGCGACCGCGACTGCGACTGCAGCTGCCTGGGCGGTACAGTATGTTTGTACGTACCCTCACCACATCGTGATTTGCTCGCCCTCTGCAACACTGAGCCCAGGCATCGACTCGCTTTCCATATCCACAGATAATCGTAATAATCACTCCCACATCCGCTTCGCCATGGAGCAAACAAAGGCCCTCAATGCTCTCGAGCCTTTTCTCGCCCTCAGCAAGTCGGCCACTTCCCCACGAGCTGCATCGGACTTGATTGTGCAAGCCACGAGCGCACCAAACACTTATGTATTCGCCGAGCTGCTGCAGACGCCAAACATCCAGAACCTCCGGACTTCAGAAGAGTATGGCCCGTATCTCACGCTGCTCGAGGTCTTTGCCTGGGGAACTTGGGCCGACTACAAGGGTGCGTCAGCACTCACTGCTATACATGCACGAAACTCTGTTTGACGAAAAACCTCTAGCACAACCCAATCTCCCTAAGCTCTCAGCACAGCAACACCAGAAGCTCTTGCTTCTTTCCCTGTTGCCCCTCTCTCACTCCCACACCACGCTCACCTACAAACACCTTATGGCGTCTCTCGAGCTGCCTACACCTCGGGCTCTCGAAGAGCTCATTACCACTGCCATCTACTCTGGCCTCATCACAGCAACCCTCGACCCTGCTCATTCCCTCGTCTCTGTCACATCTATTTCGCCGCTGCGAGATCTCGCGCCCGGATCCCTGCCTGCCCTACAGAACACGCTCCAGTCATGGTCACAGCGGTGCGACTCTGCACTTGCCGATCTCGAGGCCCAAGCTGCAAAGATCAAGCAGGAGGCGTTGGACCGGGAAAAGCTGCGCAGAAAGAAGGAGCGTGCGTTTGAAGCAGCCATGCAGGCCAGCGACGAGAAGAACAATGGCAAGCGGAATCTCATGGGCGACGATGCCATGGAGATTGACGACGAGGGAGGTAGCGGCAGAGTGACGAGGGGGAACAAGCGGGGATCTGCAGGGTTTGGCTTACACTTGGGACGGCGATAGAGAATGGTTGCTAATGCGTCAAGGCACACATGACAACACAAGATGAATAGCAAGCAGCCCGTAACTGCCGAGCACCTAGGACGAGTGTTTCGTTATGAGAGAACGTAAATACGAGATAGGCGATGGCTATGGTATGCGTGTGAATGAGAAGGATAGATGAGGACATGGTTTTGGTAGACGTCGTCGAACTGGCCTCTCGACCGAACGTTTGAATCATGTCCAGAGAGCACAAGGGACGACCAAAGTATAACGAGAATAACGATAGCATGCTACAGCTGTGATTGGAAAGAACTGAAATCCGATTGATTATAACTGTGTGGCCTTGCCTGTGCCCAAGCATCCTATATTCCCCACACCGTTCCCCTTCCCCGCCCGTTGCTCATCCAGAGCATCCGAGCAAAAATCTATATTGAAGCACGAGCAAGCAAACAGACCAGACGAAAAAAAAACACGAGTTAAAACTCCCAATCATTAACCCCCCCCCCCCACGGCAACGGGGACAAGAAAGAACAGGACCAGTACAAAAAAGAACTTCCCAGTAAAGTGGTGGGATATCTCACGAAATGCAAATGATGCATCTCAATTCTTTCCTTTGCTCCCTTCCCCCGCCTTCCTCTTCCCTTTGTCGAGACAAAAAAACTCCCCGAAAACAAGCAACAGAAAACACAGCTTACAAAGACGCCCCCCCCCCTGCCCTTTTCTCCCGGGGGGAGATATGATGTGAACAAAAGTGGAAGGAAAAGAGATCAAGGGAACAACAAACAGAGAGAAAAACGCCATGCAGTGTGCAAGTTGCGGGGAAAACAACAATAGAAAAAGACAAGATAGGAGGGGGGTGGAGAGAAGCCAGTTGTGGAGGGGGAGGGTG